CAGCGCCTCCTTGGGTCCCACCTCCCTTCTATTATCCCTTTCCCTTTTCTTCCCCTTTACTCTTATTGCTTCTTCCCTCTCTTCTATCCTCCTCCCTTTCTTTCTCCTTTCCCCTCCTACTACCTATAGTAAAAGTTAGATTTCTATACCTAACTGATTATGTTATTCCCGTCTTGAGGCAAATCTGATGAGAGTAAGGTTCAAACAATGCTCATCCCCCTCCCTTCTTTACCTCTGCTCTAATAGGTTTTTGTGTCTTTTCCTGTAATGTAATTTACCTTTGTCTGCCTCCTCCTTTCTCAGTACATTTTCTTAGCTCAGACTAATCCACTTACTTGGATCCATTTAACCCACTTGATTAAATTTTTTTTATCATTACATCAAAGTCAACTTATATCCACCCCCTTTATGTATACTCCTTTAACATGGTATAATAACAATACAGTTCTCAAGAGTTGCAAGTGTCATCTTCCCTTGTAGGGATGTAAACATTTTGCCCTTATTAACAACATATTGTATCTTTCCGTCCCATTTACCTTTTTATGTCTCTCTTGAATCTTGTACTTGAAGATCAAATTTTTTGTTGAGCTATGGTCTTTTTATCAGGAATGTTTGGAAGTCCCCTATTTTGTTGAATATCCATCTCCTTCCCTGGAAAAATCACACTCATTTTTGCTGGGTTTTCCTTGGCTGCATTCTTTGCCTTACAGAATATCATGTTCCATGCCCTAAGGTCTTTTAGTGTAGAGGCTGCAAGGTCCTGTGCAATCCTGACTGTGGTTCCATGATATTTAAATTGTTTCTTTCTGGTTTCCTGCAGTAATTTCTCTTTTATCTGGTAATTTTGGAATTTAGCTATTTGGTGTTTTCAATTTGGGATCTCTTTCAGGCAGGGAGCAATGGATTCTTTCTATAGTTATTTTACCTTCAGGTTCTAGGACTTCAGGGCAGTTTTCCTTTATGATTTCCTGAAGGATATTGTCCAGGCTCTTTTTTTCATCATGGCTTTCAGGTAGGCCTATATTTTTAAATTGTCTCTCCCGGATTGATTTTCCAGGTCAGATGTTTTACCTATGAGGTATTTTACATTTTCATCTATTTTTTCATTTTTTTGTTTCTGTTTGACTGATTCTTGCTCTCTCATAGTGTCATTAGTTTCCATTTGTTCAATTCTAATTTTTAACATTTTTTTTTCTGTTAGATTTTGTACTTTCTTCTCCAATCGGTCAATTGTATTTTTAAGGGATTTATTTTCTTCATTGTACTTTTTTTCCAATTGGCCAATTGTGTGTTTTAGGGACTTGTTTTCTTCATTGTACTTTTTTTCCAATTGGCCCAATTGTACTTTTAAAGGACTCCTCTACTGCTCTCATTTGACTTTTAAAATCCTTCTTGAGTTCTTCTAAGAAGGATTTTTGGGCTTCAGAACAGTCCATATTCCCTTTTGATGTTGCAGATGTGGGTTTGATGACAGTGTTGTCCTCTTCAGAATTTCTGTCTTCATCTTCACTCTTCTCATAATAGGAATCTATCGTACGTTTCTTTTTACTCATGGTGTTTCTTTATTCTCTGGCCTTTAAAGAGATTAAGCTCTCCTGCTGGGGAGCAGAGGGCACTCACCCAAGCTTCTTGTGTTGGAAGCCTAGGTCTTGGTCACTGGCTTTGTTTGCTGGGGCCTCTTATGTTGGCAATTGGAGGCTGTAGGTTTCTGGCAGTTTAACCGGTGTTGGGCTGCAATCAGCAAGGCTGGGACTTTCAGGTAAATCTAGGTTGCCTGCTTTTCCTTTCCTTTAGCTTTATTTAGCTCCTTTTAGATAAGTGCTGCCAGGTGTTTTATCAGCCTGGGGCCCCTTGCAGTGCTGCCACCCTTATTTCTGTTGAGGTACTGGGAGACTTCTTTGCTGTAGAATGCCGAGGCACCTGGTGGTTTTCTGAGCTGGTTTCCACCAGTTACACCACCCTCACTGAGGCACTCAGAGGTAGAGCTGTTGGAGTTTGCCTGCTCGACCAGCTGGGCTTTGGGATCTCCTGGTTGGCAATTGGAGGCTGTAGGGTTCTGACAGCTTACCTGGTGTTGGGCTGGAATCAACAAGGCTGGAACTTTTTGGTACCTCTAGGTTGCTTTCTTCAGCTCCTTTCAGACGAATGCTGCCGGGTGCTTATCCACCTGGGGACCTTTGTAGTGCTGCTTCCCTTATTTTTGCTGAGGCATTGGGAGACTCATTTGCTGTAGAATGCCGAGGCACCAGAATCTCCTCCTGGTGTGCTAAAGTGGGTCTTTCCACTAGCTGGCCGGGCGACTCCTGTTTCATACTGCTCCCCTTCCCCCAGGGTAAGAGGGGCCTTTCCCATTAATCCCTCTATCTACCTGGGCTACTGCACTGCTGTACCCCATCTTTCTTCTGGTTCAGCTGTTCCAGGTTTTTTTCTGGGGTGATATTTTCTGGGTTTTCAGAGGTTGATAGGGGAGGGTAAGAGCGACTACCTTTTTACTTCACCATCTTGGCTCCCAGAAGCCCCATACTTGTTTCTTTAACTTGCTAATATAGCAAGCAGCAGAGGGATGAGCAGGTAATAAGAAGAGACAAGGCTTAATGCAGGAAAAAAGAGTGGTGTCAAAGCAAATTTAGTAAGATAAATGACCTTCCAAAGACACTTAACTGGTCAAAATATTATTTTCAGGACTCTATAGAGTAATTTGAAGGGAATTCTGGAAGCCTTTCAGAGTTAGCCAGTTTCAAACTTGACCTTCTAAAACATGGGCATGAATCTTCACAGAGATGGCACATTTAGACCATGAGGTCCTGAATGTGGCTCCTTTCCAAAATGGAAGGAATTCTGTATATTTTAGCTAGTCAATTCTATGTCACCCAGAAAGTTCCAGGATTTCAAAGAAGTTAGGCACTGAATGGGGCAGGTTTTCTTTGTTGTTGTTGTTATTAGATAGTAAGCTCCATGAAAGCAGAGACTGTCTTTTGCCTCTTTTTTGGCCCCAGTGCTTAGCACAGTGCCTGGCACATAATAAGTACTTAATAAATGTTTATTGAATTGAATTGAATTGTTCTAACACACTTGTAAGTTCATTGGTATATGGAGCTTCTCAGTAAAGAAATCTCTTTTACCTAGACAGATGAGTTTCTTCTCAAAGAATTCCCTGGGGGCACTGAGACATTAAATGGCTTTCCCAAGGTCACACAATCCTTGGCTAACTTCAAAACTCAAGTCAAATGCCACCTTTTGAAAGAGGCCTTTCCCTCTCCCCCAAGCTGCTAGTACCTTCCCCTACCTATTTATTTACATTTTGTCTCCCCTATTAGAATGTGAGCTCCTTGAGAGTAATGATGAGTTTTGCCATTTTCTAAAAAATTGTAAGTGCTTAGCACATCTGGCAATTAGTAAGCATTTAACAAATTCACAATGAAGATTGATTGATGTATTAGAAGTGGAACTTGAACTCGTGTCCTCCTGACTGAAACCAACTTTCCAACCACTAGCTAATGCTACCTCTTTAAGTTTAAATAAAAACTCAAAATAAAATGTGGAGAAGTGGAATTTGCCCCTCTTTGGGCCTGTTTCCAGGTATCAGCTATATCATAATTCTCTATCACCACTGGAGTACCAGTCAGCATGGGAAAAGCCTTAGACATTTTACCCAAAATTTTAGAAACTCTGACCTTAATGTACTGTGAGTCCTCTAAATCATAATAAAGTGCATAGAAATCGATGCATTTGCTCCAGGAATAGACACCAACAAGTTCAAACCCTCCTGCCTCCTCAATTCAATTCAACCCAATTCAACAAATTTATTAAGTGCCTACTATAGGCAAAGCTACACAGAAGACAGAAGAGGGGCATTGACTACTCTAAGTCTTTAAGTGTCCTTAGGCAAATTTAGGAATAGCAAGCTTCTAGACCCTATTTCCTTCCCTGCCACCTTCAGTTATGTCCTGCCACTAGATTTTGATGACTCTGGAAGAGATAAAGAGACTGATGACTTTGTGCAACTCTGCCTCACTTAAATCCAATTCACTGAGAAGTCAAGACATTGCTCCATGATTTCATTGGTTCTCTTCAAAAATGAAGGATGAACCACATTTCCTTCCCTGTACATGAGTCCTGAACTGCATGTACACCCATCTTGCAATTTATCACTTTTGCCCAATGACCTACTTATTTATTCTGAGCCTTTCCCCCATTTCAACTTTTTTTAAACAAGAAGCTTAAAGTGACCACCCAAATAGATTTGTATTTAGTTTATGCTTATTGTCTCCCCCAAAAGCATGTGAGCTTCTAGAGGGTAGAGACAATTTTGTTTTTATCTTATATACTCAATGTCAAGAGTAGCTGGGAATTAGTAGGCACTTAATAAACGCTGTTGATTTACTGTCCAACTCCCTCTTCCCAGCCCCATTTATCAACCTCTCTTTGGAGTACTATTCTCTCCACACAGACTTGCACTGTATACCCTTCAAATACTCTAAAGTAATTTCTCATTCTTCTGCTTCGAAGTTTTCTACCAGTCTGACATTGTCTGAATTTATGCAAAAAATTCCTAGCACATCCTTTCCCTTCGAGAAAAAAAAATCCTATTTTTTTCAATTGCAGCAGTTCTGTACATCAATATCAGAGTTCTCCAAAGTAAGGGTATTGATCTCAAATAAAAATGGGGCCACTAAACCGTATATATGGATTCCTGTGGGCTTCGTATTGACTTAGAAAATGATATATTAACATTACCTATGTTCTATTACATTTTATTTATTTTGTTAATTTATGGAATTTATCAATTCCATTTTAATTTGGTTTGGGCTACCAGTAACATGTTTGAAACCTCTACTTTAAAGTATATTTTCTCCCCACTATCTACTATTTTACAAATGTTCATGTCCTCAAATTAAGAAAAGCAATATACATACTCATATGCAAAGAAAGTCAAATGACACTCAACTAGTAGAAACCTGTAGTACACATCCACCAGACATTCTTGATCATATACTTACCCAAATAAGTGAGCTCCCCCAACTGACTGTTGAAGAACCAATCACAGGCCTTATCACGAGTGGCAGATGGAGGTGATAGAAGTGACTGCCCAACTCTAGTCCCACACAACACCAGGATGTCAGCATATGGCTGCAAATCTTTGTGCACCATGAGCAGGTAATTTCCAGGAGTAAAATGATCAAATGTTGCTGAATACTGTGGAAAACAAGTCATACTGGTCACTGGCAGCACATCTTGGTTTTCAGTCATTTGGAAATAATGCCTCATCAAGAGGAAGTGTGGTACAGTAAAAAAGAATGTGGGCTTCAGAATTAGAGAATCAAACTTCAAATCCTGGCTCTACAAAGTCACCATTGTGACTGCGGCAAGTCACTGAGCCCTTATCAGTGTCAATTTCTTTCTCTGGAGAATGACTGGATGCTACCAAGAAGGGCAAGCCATCATCATATCTAACATCAGCAGCATTCTCAAAGTGGTGCATTCGTAACTAGAGATTATAGATTTAGAAGTGAAAAGAACATCAGAAGTTCAATGCCTTTTTATTACATTGGAGTTGATTGAGGCTGAGCCAGGCAGATATTGGCTAAGGTTACTCAGCCAGTTAGTGACTGAGCAGCTGGGACTAGAATCCAGTGTGCAGATTGATAAACCAAAACTTTGCCAACCTATTACTTACTCTTAAAAGATTCAGGCAATCACAGTAACATGTCTCAGAAATGATACTGAGGAGATCTGAGAAGGCTCATGAAGGGAAATAAAACCCTCAAATTCAGGAAAAGATAGAGAGTAACGTGGCTGTGAGTCCCCAGGGGGCTCTAGTAGCAAGCACCCTTTTTGTTCTCTAAGAGAGAATACTCATAGTGAAAGAGGAATTAACAGAAGAGCTGAATGGCAGAGAAAGGGCTCAACAATGACCTTCCTATAGTGACCCAACCTTTACAAAACAAAATCCCACACTTAGTACTGGAACACCCTGCACATTTATTTACATTTTAGGGATTTGCCACAAGATGGCAGTGTGTCAACACAGACATACACCCCTATGATATTTATCTGGCTGCAAATATTTTCTAATAGGGATAATTTGATTTACTAATCTGGCAAATCATAAAGCTGTTTTATGGTGGAACATTTTCCTGGTATATTAGAATTACTAAATATTTTTCAAGTATAAGAAATATGATAAGATGAGATTTGAAGTGATTCTAAATTTTTATTCCATTTAAAAGATAGTCATATCTCACTGTGAGATGAGTTCTAAGAAAAGAGTTATAAGAATGATTAGGAGGGGATATTCAGGGAGAGATTGCATTGACTAACCAATCAAAGCCCAGGGTTACCTGAAGATTGATGTTAATCCAAGGAGCCTCAAATCTCAGCAAGTAGGTTTCTTGATCCAAAAGCAGAGCCATCCAACCATATGGGTTTGACAACGTGTCATACACAAAGTTGACAGTGGTCGTCTGATTTCTACTATCAGTCACTGTTAACTCATAAGCAACATCTGGTGCTTCAGCTCTAGGGAGACAATCAGGGAAGGGAAGAAACATTTATTAAGCAATTATTATGTTCCAGGTATTATAGAAATACAACTCTGAGAGGTAGGTACTGCTCTAATCCTCATTTTACAGTTGAGAAAAATGAGACAGAGGTTAAGTGCCTTACCCAATCACATGGGTAGTCAAAGTCTGAAGCTAGACTTGAACTCGAGTTTTTCTGACTCCTGGTCCAGAACTCTATCCACTACACCACCTAGCTGCCTCTTCAGCACAAAACACAAAGAGGTTTCAGGTTTACTGACCAATTCTGACTCAGGAGTACTTGACTTCTCTTTTCATTTATGACTCCCTCTTCCTTTCTGGAAATATTTCCATAGGGACACCCATTAAAGGTAGCAGCAACTAGTGGATAGAGAGTAGGCCTTAAATCTAGACAGTTTTGAGTTCAATTCTCAACTCTAATATACAATGGTTATGTGACCCTGGACAAATCATTAAACCTCTCTGAGCCTCAGTTTCCTTACCTACAAAATGGATATAATAGCACCTACCTTCCAGAGTTTTTATGAGGGTCAAATAAGATAACATATATAAAATACTTTGCAAACCTTAAGGCTCTCTATAGGTACAACCTATGATCTCTTACAAAGATCTCAAAGCAAAAAAGACTGCCTCTGATACCCAGTGGCAGTGTGACCCTGGGCAAGTAACTTAACTCTCAGGGCTCTAGGCAGCTGTCTGAGACACTAAGTTTCAGAATAAGTGACAAGACATAGGCAGAAAGAATATCCTAATCTGATAGTTCCTCACATCAGTGAAATCATAGATCCAGTCCTTATCCTTTCCTCAACTAGGCTCTTGATGATGCTGCCATTTATATTTCTGTAAAGGAGGTTAATGTAGACCCCTGTGAGTTCCAAAGAGCCCTGGGGAAAATGTCTTTTGATGATCATTTCTGCATCTAACACAACTCTGATGTGCTGCTGTTGGTAATACCCTCAGAGCTCTCTGGTCACTAATAAATGTCATCTTAATAAGGTCATATGGGACAGAGCCTTTTACTATTAATTAAACAAATGCCCAAAGCTGCAATCCTGAAGCAGGATCATCTTATCAGCTGCAAATAATACATTAATACTGGTAATGAGATCTTTCTATTGACCAGTGACTGAAGCCCAGGTTCTGGCAAGCCCTCCCTCTCTGAAGCATGAGTGGGATTCCCCAGCAAAGATAATTTCTTCCTTGTAGCAGAGTGAAACACAAAGGATAAGTTAGATTTTTGATGTGCTCACCCAATGAAAAGCTACATTCCCAAATCTCAAGACAATTCTAGGAATGGCTAGAAATTCTTAAAATTCAGTATTATGGTAACAATGGTTATAATTTCCAAGTTATATACAATTTGCATGGTGGAAAGAACACCAGATTCAGAGTCAGAGGACTTGGATTCAAATCCTGACTCTGTGACTTCACTATCTATATGACCTTAGACAAGTCCATTACGATAGGAAAGAAAAGAAGGAAAATACTCTGTGTCAGGCACTCTGTTAAGCACTTTGCAAATACTGTCTCATTTGGTCCTTGGCAGATAGGTGCTATTGTTATCCTCATTTGATAGTTGAGGAAACTGAGGTAGAAACAAGTCAAGTGACTTGCCCAGAGTCACATAACTGATGAACATCTGAGGCTGGATTTAAATTCAGGCCTTCATGACTCTAGGTCCAGCACTTCATTCACTCTATGCCACTTAGCTACCTGTTTTCTCATCTACAAAAGGGAAAGTTAGAACAGATGAACTCTAAGTTACCCTCCAGTTCTAAATTCTATAAGCAAACTTTGCTGCTTCCACAATAACTTGAAGAGGGTAAATAGATGAGGAAGATCATAATCATGATCATGTTGGTGGTCATGATGATGGTGATGATGGTGAAGAAGATAATGATGATGAAGAAATTCAGGAGCAGGGTGTGACTACCAGAAATTAGAGTAGGGTTTTCCTCAAGAAGCCTGGATTTAGTGATGAATGTAGATAATGGAAGGACATGGTAGAAAATGTGTAATGTATCACTGCAGGATGCAAAAATTTTGCATCTATAGAATACCAAACATGAAATGAACTGGTGGTTAGATTTATACATTAGAAGTTTTCATGAATGGACAGATGACAAATCCCCATTCTACAAATATAGAACTCAAAATATCCTGTAGAATCCAACCAATAAACTGCATTGGAACTAGACCATTATCACAGAATAAACTGTAGCCTACAATTGCCCAGACATAATAAGTCATAAAAAATGTTTTCATAATGTCACTATACCAAATACACATAAATTTCCAACCTACATGGAATCAAAAACATTCAAAATATAGAGACCTAAAAGAAGAGATCAAAACCATGGGGGAACAGGACGAGTGTGTTCATTTCATTCTTGTCCTCTCACCTACCACAGCTATTCCTAGAATGTTTTCAATGATCCTACAAAGGAGGAGCTTGAATCCAAACACTTTCACTTAACGACAAAAACCAGTTATTTTATGCACCTATGCAACCCTCCATAGAATGCTAAATTGAAAGGAATAGCAGAATAGTGACTTGTACCAAGATGATTTTTTACATACCTTCATAAAGAGATGAGAAGAATGATATAATAAATAATAATTATCACATGGAGAACTAGGAGAAAAAGAAACTATGTGGGAATAAGAAGAACATATTAACCTTGTTATCCTGACTACCACTAGAATTGTCCCAAAGATGTTTACAAAAGATAAGACTGCATTCCAATAATTCATGTGTGTATGTGTGCACATGCATGTGTATATGTGTGTGTATTATTCACTTATGCAATGATTCTCCCAATATTAGTCAGAAAGATAAATCAAGATAAAGACCTGGCTCAAGACCATCTCTACCTAATAATAAGTAGAACTAACTATTATTTGTACAGCACTTTAAGGTACAATACAAATGTCATCTCATTTGATCCTTATAACAATCCTGGGAAATAGTTGCTATTGTTATCTCCATTTTACAAATGAGAAAACTTAGGCAGACAGAGCTGAAATGACTTGCCTAGAGTCATATAACTAATAAATGTCTGAGGCCGGATTTGAACTCATGTCTTCCTGATTCCAGATCTAGTGCTCAGTCTACCGTACTTCCTAAGCTACTTGAACTCCATCAAGTATGAGTAGAAGAGCACTGATATTGATTTTTTTAAAAAAGCCCACAATGTTACAACGCTTTAAAGTTTTTTTCTATACATTATCTTATTCTATCTTCATTAAAACCCATTGAGGTAGGTACTAACATCACATGAATACACTAATACCACATTGCCCCATTTTTATACATGTACAAAAATTAGTCACAGAGTAAAGTTGAAGCCTAGTTTTAAAAATAGTCCATAGTTTAATCAGCAAGGATTATACAACTTCTCTGTAAAGTATCCAGTAATTCGTAACCTTTACCTCTGGAACTCCTGCCCTGGGGCCCATGGTGTAAGTCATATGGCCGAATTTATCTAACTGGCTTCTGGACTCTAGCCATCTTTTGTTGACATCTGACCTGCCCTGTCCAGGTACTTTCTTTACTCCACTCTTCCATCCTACTCCTCCCTTTCCCAGCTCCAGAACGATCCAATCAACACTGCCATTGGGACTAGAGACTGTCATTCTGCTTCCCTGTGGCTCTACTTACTATCCTGGTGTCATCTCAAACCAAACCATCTCTCCTTGGTCACCACTCCTCAATGGAATATTGCTTCCTTTGAGGTTCCCTAAGGGTAAGGACTCCCCTGATTTTGTATTTGTATACTTAGCACTTTATAAAGTTCTTGGCACATGGAAAACACTTAATGAATGCTTTTTAAAAAATTCATTCAAGGAAGTGATTTTCCAGAGCCTTATTACTACAGTATATACATGTATAGGCCCTAAAACCATCAAATGGACCTAAAAAATATCAGGCACTAACCTAAAAAGAAATTAAATACATAACTCTTCAGTGCTGAAAAAAAATCCTTAGAATTCACTTAAGATGTCCCTAACACAAGTTCCATCTATAGACAGTATCCTCAACAAATAATCCAATTTCTAAATGAAGGAAGCTGCTTGGTTAGTGGATAGAGCACTGGGCTCAAGTCAAAAAGACTTGAGTTCAAAACTCTCCTTCCAATTCTTACCAGGTAATGTAGTAGATAGAATTCTGGACCTAGAGTCAGGAAGACCTGAGTTCAAATCCAGCCTTGGATACTTACTAGTTCTATGACCTTGGGCAAGTCACTTACCCTCTGCCTTAGTTTTCTTATCTATAAAATGGTAATAATAATAACACTTATCTCCCAGGCTTGTAGTGAGGATCAAATGAGATAACATTTGTAAAGCACTTAGTATAGTGTCTGGTACATAGTAAGTGATATTTAGATATAGATAGATAGATAGATACATAGATACATACATACATACGTACATACATATACATACATACACATGCATATATATATACATAACACATGTATGTATAACATGTATAAATATGTATTTATATAAGAATAAATAGAAAAATATAATGCTATATAAAGTACTATTGTCATTATTGTTATTATTATGATTATTATAATTTTCATTACCTTAGGATTCTGTGCAACCCACTCTTCCTCTCAGCGTTTCAATTTCCTCATTTGTAAAGTACTTGTGTAGAGGAAGGTAGAAGCTTTCTACTCAATGGTCTCTAAAGTCCCTTCAAGCTCTAAATCTATGGTCCCATAATCTGGCATGCTATGACCTCTAGTGATAGAGAACTCACTATTTGATCAAGACGCCCATTTTGCTTTTAGATGGCTCGAATTGAAAAAGTTTCCTTTTGTATTGAATTCCCACCATAATTTCTACCCATTGGTACCAGTTCTGACTTCTGGGACCAAGTAAAGCAATTCTATTCTCTAACATATCAGTCCTCCAACTATTTGAAAATTGCCAGTAAGTCTTCTATAAGTTAAAACATTCTCAGTTGCA